CCCCAAAACCCCAAAACCCCAAAACCCCAAAACCCCTGTTTATATCCACAAATAGAAAAACATTAATTATTATATAATGTTTAGGCTCACTGGGAAATTGGTAGTGCTGTGGATTATGTTGGGAAGTAAGTCTTAGGGTTGGGCTGGGGGTAGTTGATTGAGATTTGAGTATAGGTGTGTATTGAAAGGAGAATGAGTGATTTTCAGCAATTTTTGCAACCCCTAGTGCTGTTTTGCCGATGATTGTAGCGACTGGGAAGAATATTAATGATCTCGGTGATTTTGATGCGTGTAGTCTTCACTCAGATACAGATTATGGACTTTTCTATCTTAAAGGTGCCCCAATATATCTTGGGTTATGAGTCCCATCAATTTGAAAAAATGAAGATCTGCAAATCGTAGCTGATGCATTGACAAAATTGATAGAAAAGATTCCATCTCCTGTACCAATACAAGCAGAAGGAGTCATTCATTTCCCAAACAAAGAAGTCCCCACTGTCTCAGCTGGCCATGTCTTCGGATTCATCGGCTTCGGCCTCCTCGGTGTTTGCCTCATTCTTGGTCTCTTTGTTGAGTACACTTCGCTCTTCAGCACTCAACTCACATTCGGAGATGACATGAACGAATCCCAACAAGACAAAGCCTTGATCAAGTCAAAGACTCTATTAGGCAAGACCCTACTTGCATTCTCACCAGCAAGAAATCTGAGAAAAATGTTTTATACTCCTCAGAGGGATGATGACTATTTAACAGTCTTGAATGGAGTCAGAGTCATCAGTATGTACATGGTAATTCTTGGACACACGGGTAGCATTATGGTAAGTGCAGGAGTATCTAATCCTCAATCTAACCTTGATTTGCTATCATCCTGGTGGGCTATCTTGATCGGAGCAGGATTTTACTCAGTCGATACTTTCTTCTTCATCTCTGCTTTCTTGGCTACCTACTTGATGATTGACAAATTTCATGGTAAAAAGATCTTCAATATCCCGATGGTGTACTTTCACAGGCTTCTCAGAGTAATCCCAACTATTCTGATGCTGACAGCTTTCTTGCTGACCTTCTTTGAGTTCATGGGCTCAGGCCCGTTATGGAAGCCATTTGTTGATCAAGAATCTGCCAACTGTAGGAAATCATGGTGGGTCAACATAGTTTTCATGACGTCATGGTATAATTCTCCTAGATGCTTCGGCCAACTTTGGTACTTGTCAAATGAGATGACTTATTTCCTCCTTGTGCCTTTCATTGTTCTGGCGTATCTCAACTCCAAGCTTATTGGCTACATTGTCATAGGGTTCTTTAACCTGATCTCGGTGATTCTTCCGTTCGTGTTCTCTCACATCAGAGGGCACGGGATCACCATCCTGAACACGCCTGCTGTAGCATATGTATCTGAGATCTATCTTTACCCTTACACCAGAAGTGGATCTTATGCAGTAGGCGTGTTGTTCGGAGTGCTGTACTTTGAATGGAACAAGTCAAGGACAGATCCTAGATACAAATTAACGATGGGAGCCAGATTTTATGACAAGATTAGAGAGTCAACTATTGTTTGCTATACATGCTTGATTATCCCTTCACTAATAATGCTTTCCTTTATCATACTCCCAAGAGTTGAACTCAGAGACTTATACAATAGGCATATTAGTCAGATTCCGAGCGATTTCTTCAATGCTTTCCACAGAAGTGGATTCGTTACTGCTCTGGCGTTTTTCCTAGCTCCGATGCTAGTAGGAAGAATGAGCTTTATCAAAGATGTATTTGGAGGCAAACTTTGGGCTCCATGGGCTAAAGTAACATTCATGTCATTTTTAATACACCTAAATATCCTAGGGTGGTATTTCTATCAATCCAAGGGAGCTCTTTTTCTTGATGGGCCTGCGAATATATTCTACTCACTTGGATTTTTCTTGATCACAGTCATAATATCGGTTCCATTCTCGATCTCTCTGGAATCCCCGATACTTCAGTTGGAAAGACTAGTTTTATTCCCTCCAAAAGTAAAGCCACAAGCAGTCTCCTCTCAAAACTATTTGATCAATGAGACTAAAGACTCTCTAAACACCAAAGAAGAAAGTAAGAGTCTAAAAATTATGGATAACTAGGATTTCAACCGATTAATTTTAATCCGGGGTTTTGGGGTTTTGGGGTTTTGGGGTTTTGGGG